TGTGTGCAAATGGCAGTTGTTACGCCATATTTTTACACCATAGGTGAGTAATATGAGGTGACCGTATTTTCTTACACTGTTTTTCTTTTGTAAAAGTCTTTAAATGTATTGAATGGACTGATTCAGTTTAAATATTATCAGTTTAACTCCTAATCAAAAGCCTTTCATATAGTTATATTAAATTTCTGGTCCTGAAACGACATGCAACATGAACATGGGGGAGGGTCAACTTCGCAAGTTGATAACTACCTTTTTGTGACCATTTAACCCTAATATTAAGTGTTAGGGTGAGCGAATCCAGATAATAGCTTCATAGTACAGGCCTCAGGTGTGCAAAAGGTAGTCTCTTAGATTTTATTTTAAAGAAATCCTGAAAGATCATCACAAATTGCAATGGTGTAACTGGGAGACATAATCTTGACTTTCTCAGGAAAATACCATAAACAAATCCTGATCCAGATTTCCTTCTTTCTCGAGGAGCTCTGCACATGATGTTGTCACGCAGTCTCATTTTTAAAAACGTGACACGTCACTTTGACTTTTTCAGACTTTGAATGCAAACTGGACAAACACTTGAAGCCGCTGTCCTACATCGAGCCAAGCACACTGCAGATCTCAGACAGAGGAAAAGTTCACTGGGACACAAGCTCACTGGAAAACATCAGGGATGAGCTTCCAACTGGAGCTCAGCGGTATGGAGATCCTTATATGTACTTGTATATACACAGATCAAGGATACTTAGCATGTTGACATTCTCACTTTGCCTTTTTCTCAGTGTCGCTGTGGACTTTCTTGATTCAAAGTACTTCTGCAAAAACACTCATCACATGAAAGGTGAAGCCCTGATGAGAAAGAGACACCTTGAAATTCTGGGATACCGTGTTGTTCAGGTGAGACATTTTTACTCTGGTTGATGTTAAATGTCGTTCTCTAACTGCATCCAGTTTAAATACTAGCAATATTACAATAGACCTGCTGTGCAGTAATTGGTGATGTTTCTGTTTCGCAGATCCCTCACTTTGAATGGAACTCTATGGAGCTTTCAACACAGGATGCCTGGAAGGAATATCTAAAAAAGAAGATATTCAGATAGCGTTCCTCCCAAAAGCCCTTATTTATAAAATCATGATTGAAATGTTGCTTTCAGCACCGAAGTCGGAGTTTCTGTGACTGAACACACAGCACAGAAACTCCCCACATATTTAATTATAGTCTAAAGTTGACATGAGTCTACCTCATTCACCTTAAATGAGATTGTGTATTATGTGCTTTTGTAATTAATACAATTTTTTTCTAAATAAAATCTGAAAAATTTTATTTTTGCTTTATATTTTCAATTTTTAGATCAGTGGACTTTTGCAAAAAATGACTGTCCAGCTTTTAAACATCATTGCATATCTGTTACTTATAACTAGTGTTTTAATGCATCATTATATGTTTATGCTGACATGTGTCAGATTGCACAGGGCCACACAAGAGT